CAGCAGCCACCCACCTGTAGCTGTCATATCACTGTTTCCTACGCTCACTCAGCCTCACCATGCCACACACACACACACACACACACACACACACACACACACTGTGTGTAATCGTGGTGTGTATTTTCTAATCCCTATTTCTTTGGCTTTTGACACACAAGTGTATGAATGTCTATTATTTCGCTCCTTATCCACCAATATTCCAAACGGATCCTTTCAGAACCAATCAGCACAGGTCGTCTGTTGCAGCTTCAAAGATTAAATGAGCGAAATCATCAATGTTCTTTAAAGACAAGGGATTGGAATCCAGAAGAATTGACAGATATCACTGTATAATCTGATCCCCTCATCGATTCTCACTGGGTTAGGAAATAAAGTGTGGTTCAAATGGATTTGGTTGCATTCGTTTTTTAAGTAAAATATAAGTTCACATTTGGCATATGATTCAGGTTTAGGTCCTGCTAATATGTGCTTTTCCAAACTGACGGTTTCTTTGTGAGAGGAACCCGTGGCTGACTGTGGGTTACATGGAGTCTGAGTCCACATCAGGGAGCTATCAAAGCTGAAAACGCTGCCGAGCTTGGCTGACGCCAAGGAAGAACACAGTGGTCCCAACATGTTGTTGTTATTGGTTATTTTGTGTGGATCTTCATGTTGTTGTAGTGACAGAAAAACTATGAAGGAAACTGATGAGCTCTCCACTTCAGTTATTTAGTTAACACGTTAGACTGGAGAGACCCCGGACCTGTCCTGTGTTGGTATTATTGGAGTGGAACTCTGGGACATTAAAGACAGAGGACACCATAATGACAGATCTGCCCCTTGACCTATTGATCCTTATATAGTTGCCTACTGGGTGATTAAATACTTCTACACGTCACCACTTTTTTTTCCAAGCTTCGCATGCCTTGCAAATTCTAAGTAATGGAGCCATACTTTGGACCACGTCTGCCTGAACACCAAGATTGAAAGGCAGAATGATTCCAAGGAACTGGACCAGTGGGAATCGGTTCCTGGTTCTCCAGTGCTGTCCCTCATAAATGCGGGAGAAATACGTCAGTTTCAGATCAAAGAAGCTCAGAAATGATTTCTAGAAGATGTCTCACCTCTCACCAAAGAGGATGTTCCAGGTTGAAATGAAAAAAATGTTGCCTCAGGTTGTTGTATTCACCCGGGTTAATGGGTGAGTCACATTGTGGTTGTTATAATCTGATGAACTGAGCTGGCTGTGTGACTCTGGACTCTGTCTGTGGTTCATCCAGTTGAAGGTTGGTGTCTTAAAATGACGGAGGTGACCACAACCTCCCATCCCATGAGCGTTAGAGTGTGGTATTTGATGGAACTCGGTATTCAGGGATTTCCGTTATGTCGAGAACTGCTTATTAAAATGCTTTTTGACACAGTTGGTGAAAAGTAAACAAACAAACAAACAAACCAGAGATGAAGATCCATTAACAGTTGGCAAATGAGAGGAAGGTATGATACAAGATGAGAGATTCTTTGAATAATGTGAGCCGAGAGTGAACTCTTAAAAATGGTCCAGGCTGGAGATGGAGATCTTGAGCCGAAAGCACTTTAACTGAATGTAAAGAATTCCAAATGGTGAAATGTGATATGATTTAAATGCAATTTAAGAACACTCCTGTCTTTGATTCAAACTGTGAGAGAAAAATCAGAGTCAAAGGTCTGTTCTATACTTACTGGCAGTAATATCACCTTTTAACCTCAATCATCCAAAAAAAAATCTATCTTCGTATAAGGTAGCAGTGAAGCCGCAGGCACAGAAACCCTGTAAAAACTCACAGACAGAATAGAATAGAATAGAATAGAATAGCCTTTATTGTCCTTGTACAGTGTACAATGAGATTTGAGCGCTACTCACTTGGTGCAAAAAAAGAGTAGAAGACGACAGTATATACAAACATATAACAACATATCTTTGGTATACAGTTTTGTATACAAAACAGAAGACAATGAAATATTTCTGTTAAAATTCCAGGAGGTGAATATCTCAATTCCCAATTACATATACCAAACAGGTCTGGATTCTATGATTGCGTCATACACTGGTGTTAGAGTTTACTGTAAAAACAAAACAGGATAGACGGCCAAGAGAAAGCAGAAGAACCAAAATAAAATTCTTTAAAATAACAAAGTAATTCCTCAACACAGGATGATTCCACGAGCCCCGACTGAGTTTTTCTAAACACTTCCTAAAGCAGCGATTCCATCAGAGAATTCATTCGTTGTAGAATTCTGGAGGATGTCATGCTACCAGGTCATGACCTCCATCTTTGCTTCCTCCAAGACTGAAATCCAGTTCCTTTTTTTATTTCTCAGTGTCAAGAAAAGAAAAAATGAGTTAAAGACTGGTAGATGGATTTTTTTAACAATATCGTAGTTTGAAAAAATACTAACATTGACTTTTCAGTGGTATAGTTATAATCCCACCCATCCTTCTGACTGTATGTTCAGTATCAGGTCACATGCTGATGGATGCATGTAAAGCCCCTCTGTCCACTTCATGTTACAGCGTAACTACTTCCATTGTACCAGACCAGTGTGTGTTTTAACTTAAGCCGAGGGACGCTGCACACAGACATTATAAATCAACTTCATGTTAAGTGCAACTGCTCTAATGATTTCCTATAGAGGGTCGGCAGAGGTCGGAAACACTTCAAAACTACTAAATCCCCGGCTAACAAATACGGGTTAACAGGTTACTTGGGTAAGGTGTGCTGCTCTGATGAGAGAAAGAACTGTCAGAACAAGCTGAACTGATTCAGACTCCAACAGAGCTGCAGGTCCTGAGTCCAGCTGCACCAAGAAAATAAGAATTAACCCCTGCAGACTCCACCGACAATTTCCAGCAGAAGGAAAAACCGGTGCTTACGATGCAGTCCTGTAGGGTGAGGAGCTCATAATGATGTGACATCATGTGGAGAATAAAAATGCCCCTGAAAAATGCCACAGGCACCATGTGAGGACAAGCAGCATCACAACAGTGAGGTGACATTGTCAGATGGCTGCCACCCGCTGCATCACTGAGGTAAATGTTCCAGTGACTGTGGCTGGGCACGAAAATGTGGACGTGTAGGACAACTCCACCCATCAAAGAAGGTCCTTTAATGACGGCTTCAAAGAGTTAACATGAAGGGAAACGTGCAGTTTAAAGTTCTCAAAAGGAAAAAATGTAGAGAACAATATATTTCAATCGACGATTGGGAAAAAATAGAAGTTATTATCTAGTTATTTTCTCATTTCTTTTGATCCCCATTGGTGCAACTTTCTGCTGGTGTGTCTTACACACAGGGGTGGGCAAGAGGGAAGAGAGGGGGGAGTGTTTCCTCACATTCACTTCCTGCTCAGATCTATTTATTGGTGGCACTAATATGAGGGAAAGTCTCAGTTATGGCGGTGTCCAAATTTAATCTTCTCTAACCAAGTAAAAACACATCTCCAAAAGCTTGAACAGGGTTTATGATTTTATCTTTGTGGAGTGTTGAGATGTGTTATTTTTTTTAATTTATTTTTTTCAACCTTGAACAAATGAACAGTTTTTAAATCAAAAGCTGTTGAAATGATTGAACTTTAAATTACATTCTTTAGAAAAAAATCCTCTGGCGAGGAAACTGATATAGACTTACATACAGGATATGTAGAGAAATAGATTTGTTGTTTTGATTAATAAATATTTTTTAATTATTTATATAGATTTATTTTTTAAATTGGTCTTAGACATGCTGTATATATCAAATTTCATCTTTAATCTCCAAGAATTTTATAATTTCCCCATTAAAATGTAAAAAATAGGAATGTGTTCCTAATTTCTCCCTTCTTGTAAAATACACTAAAGGTCAAATGAGTGTGTATATTTGTGTGTGTTCTATTGTTTCCAAAAGAATTTATTTCAGAACTTATTCGTTTGTTTTAGGGGGTGGGGATAAATGGGAGGTTCTGGGTCTGGGGCCTGGGCCTGGGGCCCGGGGCGCCACAGCGGCTCGGACCGCCACTGCACACAGGGACGATGTGGATTAGGCGACACTGGCGCCACTAGACTGAGCAGAACAGAAGGATGTGATGCTGAAGGAAAGAACAAATGTGAGGGGAGAGCAGAGTGAGGTGTTTAAAGGACTAACTTCAATATCTGTTGCTTATCGATGTGCAAAAAAAAGCCGAGACGAAGAGGACGCGGAGGAGTGCGCTTTAGCTGTCGCTGTAAAGTCTGAGGTGCTGCTGGATGGAAATGTGTAAGAGTGCGTGCGCCTGTGTGTGTATGTGTGTGTGCATGCCATGGCGCATCAGTCAATGCCGATGAGACTTAAAAGATAAAGCAGGGGGCTCTTTTTACACACCGACATCAGGTAGCATCGTGGAGCAAATTCTAGCAGCAGCAGCAGCAGCAGCACTGACCGATGCCTCACATCCACCAGTCACTTCACCGGGGTGAAAGTTGGCACCAGGCAAACGGCAGCGATCGCATCCATCTGGATGTCCTGTTAATGACTACTGAGTGTGTAGGAAGAATTGAATTTATTATCATTGCTTCATGCTGCACTATCCCTTTAAGGACCTGTTTGCTTCTCATATTATAATCTAGTGTGCTAAAGACTGATGGAGAAATGACCAGACACAGCCACCCACATTCACACCCACCTTCTTACTCCATACCCATTCATATACACACACACGATCACATGATATGTAATCTGATAATTTTGTAAACTAAATAACAGAGCAGAGGAAGGATGCAGCAACTGGGAGTTGATGGGGAAGCTGCCAGCAGAGCAAGCTGCACTCTCCCCTTGCAAGTAAAAGATCCAGACGTCTTTTGTGTTGTTACTTTGTCGTCACATATGTTAGAATAAACCTAACAGAGTGTTTCCAGTGTCACCCACAGACACACACACACACCTTCAAACACACTCACAGTTGGGCTATTGTTCGTATGGCTCTAACGTGAGGACGCGAGAGGACAGAGGAGATGGAAATGTTCTTACCCGCGGCGACATCCAACAAATCCGCGCACAAGAGCAGGCACAACGAGAACACGCTCATCTTTCCCCTTTTTCGCAATAAATCCCAAACTCCATCTGCGTTTACATGCTCCCCGGAATCCGGCCGTGTAATCCCCACCATTCCAGAGGTGTGTGAGAGAAAGGTGGACCCAAACTATTCATGATGCAGCTCAAGTCTGAGTGAAGAAATGGCAGAAGTTGACAATGAATACGGCATTCACAGAGGCGGAGATCGAGCGTCAGATCCTCCCCCCAAAAGGAGAGAGAGGGAGAATGCGCTCCCAAAAGAAATGTAAAAAAAAATGAAAATGAATAAAACAGTCACAGCCTGGTTGTTGTCTCTCTCTCTCTCGTTTTGGAGAACAGAGAGCCGGGCTGTGCTCGGCCGCGGAGGAAATGAGACTGTGGAAAAAACTGGTGGTTTGGATGAAAATGTGCTCCTCCGTCACCCCTCTCTCTCTCTCTCTCACACACACTCTCTCTCCTTATTTCTCTCCTGCTCTCAACACACACACACACTCCCTCCCTTATTCTTTCTCTCGCTCTCTCTCTCCCACTTTCCCTCACCCTCCAGACACATAGTCGTTTTCTGATCGCTCCTTATTTTATTTCGCACACTTTTTCTTAATCCTGGACGCGGAGCTGTTTATTAATCCCGACCACTAAGGACACTGGCTGGCGTTTCCATCTCCCTTGTTTATTTATAACAACACCGTAAGATACACTGGAACATGTTAAATGTAGAAAAATACAAAGGCAATGCAACAGACACAATGCAACAGATGATGAACACGTCCGGTGTATCAGCACCGTCATTTAACCGTTGTACTATTCAATTTGTCCATTAAATATCGTTTTCAGCTCGGCAAGAACTTAATGTGTATATTTACACATATATGCAAATATATACTCATGCATAAGTGTTTAGCAATATATATACAGTATATATAGGCCCACTGTTTTCACATCATAATATCATGCGGTCAGGGTGAACAAATGGTCTAGAGGTGAAGAAGGTGGAACGAATGGAGACGAGGATCAGGAATGATGTGTGGTTGAAGGGCAGCAGCTGGACTGAAAAGAAAAGCTTCACAAGATGATAGTGAGACCTGCTATTGTGTACAGTGTGGCTTGGACCTGTTCAGAATATAAAACGGTGCCCAACCACAGGTTCAAGACCAGCACTGGGCCATAGATCAATTGATGCCTGGCTGCACAGGAAAAACATGGAGTTTAATTTTGATGTTTTTATTATTATTATTATTATTGAACAGTGTCTGTTCAGAAGTCTGAACAGTGGTTTATTTCCCAAAGAAAATCGCATCAGTTCACCTAAGTTCTGACCACTTCATCAAACCACTGGTCTGATGAAAAACTGTCTCACATAAAATTATTCTGTGGTGCAAGAAAGCAGGACCCCTGACCTACTGTGACCATCAGAAGGTTGAGCTGGAGGTGAAGATGCTGAGAATGTCCTTGAGGCTTCAGATGGACAGCTAAGGTGAAACACTTTGGTGATAAAGTTACACAGACAAGGTCAGGCTGGTTTGGACATGTGCTGGAGAGAGATATTGGAAAAACAAGATATTGGAGATAGAGCTGGCAGGAAGTGACGGTTGGTGCAGCTGTGGAGGAGCCAATAACAGAAGAACTGCTGCTGTTTCACTGTTATCAGCAAAGTCCTGGTTCCTGTGTCCCTACAGTTCACGTGAATGATGTCACCACCCGAATGATGTCATCACCACTGACTGGGTCGATTTTTGAAACTCTGTGAACTTCTTCTCGACTCAATTCCTTGAATAACAAAAGAAAGGCGGCATGAATTCACAGTAGAACGCCGCCACAGGACTTGAATAGGACTACTGTTATCTTATTTTCATACTCACACGTTAATAAGAAAAGACTAGAAAGGTTAAATCTCACGTCACAACACTGAAGTAGATTAGGGAAACGTCGCAGCAGGTCATATCCATTCAGTAAAAATGATAAATGTTGGTGAATGAAGCCATTGGTTTTTCTATTTTCTGCTGCAGCCCAACGCAATAGTTCTAGGACATAAATCTGCATTGATCTGAGCAGCAGTGACCCGCTGAAACCTTAGCTTCAGAAACGGCTGGAAATCTGTTTTCTGACAGGTAGAAGCCAGTGGTCCATGAAAATTGAAAAGTGGAGTCTCAAAAATAAACTGCAGGAAGTAAAGACATTTATAGAAAAAAATAAATAAATTAACATCAAATTTTCAACTTTCTCCAACTGTGCTTGCAGAGACGAGGGGACGTTTCTTTGGTTAAGGTCTGCAGTGCTAATGCACTAGCAGGTATCTCTAGAGGGCAGTGTCAACAACAATTTATTGGGGAAACAGAGCTCAACGTGTTGCTGTCCATATGGCGTCTCACCCACTAAGCATGCGGGCTCAGTGTGAAAACGCCATGTCTGCCTCGTGTCCTGATGTTGATCTGAGACACAGTCATTGAGCTCTTATACATTTTGGTGAAATTTAAAACCAAAATAAAGCCCGTAATTGGTGGCCCTTACTTCGTTGTATGTCTAGTAGAATCCTGAGTATTATATGTATTATCCCCTGGATTTTTATTGTCCATAATGACAAAGAGCTTTAAACCCTATATATTGTGTGTCAAAAGTAAGGCCCGGGGGTCAAATGTGGCCCACCAAGCCTTTTTTTGTGGCCCGCAGAATCTTAAATTTCATTGCCTTATAGTAAAGTGAATGCTCCTTCACAGAGTATGTTGAACATAAATGACAACTACAACAGTGCTTTACATGATGGTGACAGATCGATGAGCAGAGATCTACTTGGTGTGTTCAAGGACAAGCAGCATCACTTCATCAACTTCAGCCCGTACCTGACTGACATACTGTAGTTCTGGACTGAGATACTGTATCTGCGTTTGTCGTTTGATTTTTTGAAAAATTAATTGAAAAAGTTGATTTGAATGTAAGTTTCTACACCTGATAAATTAAAAAAGGATTTCTCTAATATATAGAAAAATGTTTAATATTTGTAACTAGAATCAAAATTATGTAGCTTTATTGACCCCCTGAGGGAACTTGATTAGATGTAAAATATATATATATATATATAAAATGAATCACAGAAGTAGTTGCAGCCATACAGTTTTCTAGTTCCAATCTGTTCTACTTGGGCAACTGTACTGCTGATGTGGCCCCACATGACACATTATATAGAATATAACTGGACAGAACCCTGGTGCTGAGAGAGTGAACACTGGATGTTTTCAGCCTGTTGTTGAAATGACGTCCTGACACAGACTGCCCCCAGTGTTCATTTGGAGAGTTGCAAAAAATGTCATTTCACTGGAGCCATTTACAGAACTCATTCAGACTCCAAAGCCTCATCTACTCATTTAAATTCAATGTTAAAAGACCTGGAGACGCAGACACTGAGCTGCCAGTGTTTACTGGGTATAAACACACTGAGTCGACTTTAGTATATGTTGTTTTTTATCTTATATTATCAGTACTTGCCTTTAGATACCTGCTGAATCCTTGGTTGGTATATATCACGTATGTTCAGCAGAAGGCCCGTGGGTCAAATCTGGCCCACCACCTCATGTTATGTGGTTTAGAGAGCTCCACATGCATGTGTGTGTTTTTTTTTTTTATCAAACTCTACAGTATAGGGGTCATGCTAGTGTTTGTTTTATTGAAGAAAAAAGTTGTTGCGATCTGTTCAAATTCAATATTCTCAGCACTGGTATTATATAATTACCGTTGAACTGTTTGTCTGTTGAGTGATTGACCCTGTGATCTGATGCCTTCAACCTTCAACCTTGATTTTTGGTGACTTAATTGATATTGGAATCACTTAACATAATGGAGTAGAAATTATATTATTTGACTGATTTAGCTGAAATGAAGGACACTGACTATTTAGTGCTGCCTTAATGTAAATGGTTAGTGGTTTTTATAATGTTTTTACCCTTCTAATGATTTAATCTTGGTGGCTCTTTAACAATTCAAAAACCAATTGCAAATGTTTTTCAACCAGTTAGCTCCAATCCTGTTAATATTTGGAATGGCAAATCCCAACATTGCAGGGTGGCATGTTGACATTGCTGTTGGTGGTGGGAATTCACTCAGCGAATCAATATTGTGGCAGTGTCTAAATTCATTGGCAGCAGCCACTGGTGTCTACAGGGGCTGGGAAGTGTTGGCTGTGAAAGTCACATTGGTCATCCAGACATATCCTGCAGCGGTCGGGGGATCAGCACTATGGACAGCGGTAGCAATCCATTAAAAGTGCAGAGCTCTGCAAAGCAGAAAAGCTGGAAGAATGTGTTTTAACTGTTGAGATTATCGTCCACAGATCAGTAAATTCTCATTAGGAAATCAAGTTAATTATTAATATTCTGATATATTCTGGAAACACCGGTTATCACGCCTGCCTTATACATCTGCCCTAAACACAGAAGGTCGTGGGTTGGAGCTCCAGAGGAACCTGCTTGATGGTGCCTCCTGTGGCAGCCTATGTGAGTTGCAAAGACTCATATTGTGAATGTTTCATTTTTTCTAATATAATACAGTTATGTAAAAGTATCTGCAAGTTAAGAATTCTCCCAATTTTAACAATAATAAACTCAATTTCCTTTTCAATGATCAGTAGTAGTATTAAAGGGTTCTACTCTGTGTTTACACAGGCTGCCCTCATGATTTGGGGCTAGGATAGATAATACGTAGCACCTGCCAGTGCCACACTCAGAAAGAGCATCTACTGTAAAATAATAGGTAATAGGTCAAATCAGTCCATACACGACTGGTTAAATCCTAGTTAGAACTGATGAACATTCCGTCTCTTCCCTCAGAGAACATTTCACTGGCAAATTATGTAAGCAACGAAAAACAGATTTACAGTCATTTTTACAACAAAACGTTTAATAGCATTAGTGATGGTGGTGTTAAGTCCAGACCAAATATTGACTGATTCCAAAAGCCTCTACAAATTACTCCCCAAGGAGACTTAATGTGTCTGTACCAACATACTTAGCTGCGTGTGTGTTGTGTGCATCAGTCACAGAAACAATCCACTCAGATGACATGGTCTCTCTGGCCAAACAGAGCTCAGCTCAGCATCTAGTGTGTGTATGTCTATATTTGTGTGTACCTGTGAACAACAGTCACACATTCCCCTGTGAAGACACACAGGACCTACTGCGAACGACTAGTGCCAGGGCATTAAGAACAGAGTGGATTTTTATGCATGAGAAGCCTGTGAGTTTGCAGTTAGATGTGAGATAGCGAACAGAGGTCTGAATAGACACCCAGCTCTGCGCTGACTAATGTTGCAGCCTGCTGTGGTTTTTCTGTTGCATTGGTACAAGCTGAGAGAACAAATCTGTCTTAGTCAAAGGGAAAATCAATTGCGGCTTTGAGAGAACATTGAAATGAGCACGGGGCTGACCTCAAATCATTGCTTATTCTGTGTAATGTCTCTAATCTCTAATATGACATGATATTCAAGGATGGCCGAGCATCCCAGTGCCTCCTCAATCCTCCTGGAGACAAGTGTCTGGGCACGAACACTGCAAATACTTTGCATCACGACAACTTTTTGTTCTTCACGTTTACATCAAACAACAACAAAAAAACATTTAGATGCACGACGGTGATTCGAGACAATTGAAGGCGTGAAGTGTCACTGAGTTGAATGGGTTTTGTTCCAGGTTGCTGCTAATATCAATGCATTGTGTGATCACACAGACAAACTCCCAAATGTCTGCCAGGATCTGGACACAACAGCTTTGTCAGATGGG